TGATAGCCATTCTTTGTGGGGTGAGATGCAATTTCAGTGTTGTTTTAATTTGCATTTCATGGATGGCTAGTAATGTGGAGCAATTTTTCATATATTCACTTCTTTAATTTCTTCCTCTGAGAAGTGTGTGTTCATCTCGGATGCCCATTTCCAGATTGGGTCTTTAAATTTTGGGGCCCTAATGGTTTTTAGTCCTTTATAAATTCTAGGGAGTAGACCTTTGTCCCTCAGTCCTTTTTTATTTTATCTTTTATTTGAGACAGAGTCTCACTAAATCATTCAGGCATGTTTGAACTAGCAATCCTACTGCCCCAGCCTATCCAGATAGTATACAGGCATGTTCCACCACACCCACCTGTCTTTATCTTACAATTCTGCATATTGTCACAAAACAAATTGAGCAGATTTACTGAAGGGTAGATACTCACCATCACATGACCTTGTTTCTAACATTTGTTCTGGGCAAAGATGTTGATTCTCTAGTTCTTGTATAATTACTGCCTTGGATCGGACCTGTATTCCACCGAAGCCGAGGTCCTCACCATTCACACAGGTCAGCTGACACAGGCTCCACGGAGACCAATCCTCCAAGTAGCAGTCACCTGAAAACCACAGGTTGGTAGTTTAGGCTCAGACCTATGGACAACAGCCAGGTCAATACTCACTGTAATTCCAAGTGCACTGGGTGGTGTTTGCAGTTATGTTACTTATTTACAATATTTATTAAATTTGGATAAACATCTAATAATTTCAAATTTTAAGTAATTTTATAAGTTTTTATAGCTATTGTTATTTTTTTCAGTGTTGATTGCTTGCCATATATTGCTTAATGCTGTGAAATGTAACTGTGACTAGAACTTTCACATTATGATTACTTCCAAATAGGTGTTTGGTTAAACCACATGTATTCTTGCATAACATCATGAAGAGGTTTACCACTTTCTACATAGTCATAATTTCAAAGAGGTTCAAGTCTAAGAAAGCTGGTAATTATGTTTTACTTCCGTTTCTTCTCAGAGGCACGATGGTGAGACAGCATGTTGAGCAGCTGAAGTAGTGGAAATGATGCTGTTTCTTTTGATCTACATCTTTCATAATCTCTTTATAAATGTTTATTGACCAACAGTATGTAGTGCATGACAAATGATTATATGTCGTAAATGAGTAGATAGCTGGATTTTCATAATCTGAT